ACAACAATTTTTCAAGTCAGATTTCAAAGTTCTGACCCAACAAAAAAAATCTCAGAAAAGTACCACCATAAATGGGAAAATGTTACTCAGTTCCGATTTTGTGGAATGAAAAATTGTGGAATTACCAGTCTTCCTTTCATATAGTCTCTTTGGGATCGACACCAAGTTACCAAGATCAAGACTGAAATTGCTGTTGTGATTGAATATAGCCAAGAAGGAGACTAAGATTAATTGGTACTGAGGCCGACACTTATCGGCACTAAAAGCCGAGACTGACTGAGACCGAGACCGAGACCGAGATCGAGAGTCGCGGGTTGGTCTTGGTCTCAGTGCATCCTTTGTTACGACTGAATAAGTTATAAGAATCCCTCCCACACAGGATGCAGAGGAATACAAGGGGCGTCGCTACATATGTCCCAAAACGTTGCACAGATCAGCCCTTGGAACGTCTTACATAGTTCTAATTACCATCCTGGGGTAGGTTCCCAAAAGGTACAGGAATCATCCCTTAGTAGTTCCTTAAAAGTTCTAAGTATCACCTCTAAGTAAATCCAAAGCAGCTAAAGGAACTACCTCTGGATAGGTCCTAAAACTTCTAACTACTCCCTCTGGCTGAGTCCTTAGAACTTCTAATTACCACCTCTGGCCAGGCTCAAAAAAGTTATAGGTACCACCTCTAGGTAGGTTCCTAATAGCTAGAGGGACCAGTCCTGTCCCGATCCTGGAAGCTTCTAAGTACTATCTCCAGGTAGGTCACAAGTAGTTATAAAGAATCCTCCTGGATAGATTCTAAAAAATTCTAAGTACTATTTTTGGGTCGGTATTTATTACGGTAATAATTATTACTCGTTATTACTTATCAGTTGTTACTTTTATTAGTTTCAAATTTTTGTTACTTTATTGCTGGTAATAAATAATAAAAGTAATAATAATTAGGAATATAACGCTGACGCTCATGAGCGTGAGCGTAAGCTGTACACTCCTATGTTGGATCCTACTTGATTTTTAAGTATCGCAAAATTCATCGGAACCTAGCAGAGTTCATCGGAATTCTCCAATATGTCAATCTCATAAGCTCACTCTTGCTCCCTAGTCGAAAATCCTACGACCAATTCCTCCTTTTTTTGCTCAGTTTTTTTGGATCATATTGGATCCTGTTGGATCCTATGGATCCTGTTGGATCCTATGGATCCTGTTGGATCCTATGGATCCTGTTGGATCCTATTGGGTCCTATTGGATCCTGTTGGATCCTGTTGGATCCTATCGATCCTGTTGGATCCTAGGATTCAGCAGGATCCGCTTTTTCCCCCTTGGCTTTTCCTCTCATAACTCTCTTGAATATTTAACAGCGACTTTTTCTATCAACATGATTTCTATATTTTTACGCCCAACTGTCGAAAACGAGTACTAGATTGATTATAACATGAATGGATCTTTAAACAATTCGTCGATGAGAAAACTAACTTAGCAATTTTTCTCTAGCATTATCAGAGTTCAACGCTCAGTTTTTCCTTCATCAAGCTGATGCTAAACATTTGAGTATATTTGAGAAGATTCAAGCATATGAGTAAAATTTTCAATCTCTTGTCTATAATGGATTTAACGTCTCCTATTCGTTTTGAATATCCTGTTTTATGTCAGTAAAACTTCTAGACGTATTTTCATAGGCAAAATGAATAGGACTCATATACAGAAATATGCAAATTAAGCAAACAGAACATACCTAACCAATCACAATCACCAGGTTCACCAATGTAGACTGGAATGATAGATTTATTACGTTTAATTGCATAAGTAGCTTCATTTCGACACGATTTACTAGCATAATATTTTTGCGAAAGTATAAGTAGAACAATTTTTGATTCTTTAATTGCACGAGCAATTTTCTCCCATAAATCTTCATTCGATTTAAGATAATCTCGATCGATCCATATACGAAAAAGATCTATCTTCTTTCCAAGTTCAGCCAATATTTCATAACAAAAATTTTTGTCATCGTGAGAATAACTGATCATAATCATTGGCTTCTTGTTTTCAATTTTCGCAGGTACTGATCGATCGATAATATCTGGTTGTTTATTATCGAGTGTTTCATCAAGATTATCGAGAATACTATTTGCAGCTTTGTTGAAGCTTTCCATTGAACGTGGTGCATAATGATCAGTAGCATCTTCACTATAATTTTTACTTATATCTTCAACTGTCTTTAAGAAAGTTTGATTATTTTGAAGAGTTTGTGTATATTCATCATGAAACGAAATACTCCATAGAATATTTAAAAGAGCTATGCATGTAAATTGTTCGATTTCATTTTTTTCATCTAGTGCATGACGAAATTTCATGAATAAATCTATGAAGAGTTTTATTTTCTCGGATGCATTGAGTTGTGGATCTGATTTTGCTTCATCAAGAACATACTTTAATGAACGATCATCCGTAAACAATTTCGTAAATACAGCTAAAGGTTCAGACACATGGAAACCTTCTGTACTTCGAAAGTTATCTTGCTAAAGAAATAGAGTCTTGTCATTCATCAAAATCCATAAAATCTATATGAATATGTTGAATCAAATAAAAATAAACGACGAAAAGAAGGTTTCAAGCCGTCTTTTCAGAAGTTAAAATGTGAAATGTGATATACCGATTGCCAAAAAAATCTTGGAAAACTTAGTATTAAAGGTCCCAGATCGAACGCCGTTATTCTTATTAGAAGTATAGTAATAGAATTTGAAATACTATCAGCCGACAAAGTTTTTCTATTATCGCTTTGAACCTAAACTACTATCCATTTCAAAATAGAAGATGGATGATTGTAATTTGAACAATTCGAGAAGGCAAACAGCTAGCGAGCTGCGGTTTTCACCAATAGAAAGAGGACACTGGGGGACGTAAATCTATGGAAAAATATCATTCGTCAGTAATGGACCAATAGGATGAAAGCTCGCTGGACATTTTGAACATAGCTTTTGGAACATTTTTATCGTTGGATTTTGAACTTCAATTAAACCATTCGATAGAAAAAAATCGTTCTCTTTCGATCTACGCAAGGCCGAGCTCGATAGCTTGCTCCGCTCAGTAGCTATAGGCATTTTTCTGAGACCCCTGAAATCGGTCAGGTGGCGCGGAATCACTCTTAAAAGCATTACATCATAGGTAATCGACCATGCTGAGTCTAGTGGTGATGTTTGTTTTCTATTTCAAAGTAATCTGAGATCACTGTATCGAGATTTTCGATATATCTGTTCTTTAAGCCAACACCCTCACCACCTCAATTTTCCAAAATTGTGCTATAATGATCTCAGATTACTTTGAAATAGAAAACAAACATCACCACTGGACTCAGCATGGTTGATTATCTATGATGTAATGCTTTTAAGAGTGATTCCGCGCCACCTGACCGATTTCAGGGGTCTCAGAAAAATGCCTATAGCTACTGAACGGAGCAAGCTATCGAGCTCGGCCTTGCGTAGATCGAAAGAGAACGATTTTTTTCTATCGAATGGCTTAATTGAAGTTCAAAATCCAACGAAAAAAATGTTCCAAAAGCTATGTTCAAAATGTCCAGCGAGCTTTCATCCTATTGGTCCATTACTGACGAATGATATTTTTCCATAGATTTACGTCCCCCAGTGTCCTCTTTCTATTGGTGAAAACCGCAGCTCGCTAGCTGTTTGCCTTCTCGAATTGTTCAAATTACAATCATCCATCTTCTATTTTGAAATGGATAATAATTTATGGAATTTATATAACACGAATTCTATTGCTTGAGCTCAATCTACCATAGTCTACGCTGATCCATGAACTATGTCTTTCAGGAAAAATTTTTACTCTTAACACTTCCTTCGGATCATATTTCACAAAATATTGAAATATCTGCCATTAAGAATTCATTCATTCAGTATGCCAGTTTTCTATGCTCGAATTAATCTCACTACTGGACAATGAAAGTGTTAAAGCAAATTACCTTCGTTGCATCGACTACAGTTTGTAAGAGTAGATCAAGGATTTTATGCACTCGTTTGTTATCTTCACGTATTTGTTGAGGAGTCGAAAGGAGAACAATGGTCATTGATATGAGAAGATTTTCTTGTTCGACCCATAAACTACCATATTTACTCTGCATATCTTTAAGCATAGGAAGACTATTTAATTTGTTTAGTTCATCAGCACCATTATCATGCCGAGATATATTATGAATGACATTGATCAATTGTCGAAATGTTTCTGTGGATAAGTTTTTCGCTTTGAAACAATGAAGAATCGCTTTTGTCAGACCAATATTAAGAAATAATGGTACCATCACTGTCTTATCAGCAAGATTCCAAAAAAATGAAAAAATGTATGTTGTTATATTCTTATCGATTTCTGCTATTTCTTTCTTTTGATCAATCAATTGTATATCATGTATCACTTTTTGGTACATCGAAGTAAATAAATTAGCGTATTTTTGTGTATCAGCATCAACTTTTACAAATGAAACGATATTTATGATTACGGTAAGAAAACATATTAATATGATAATAACGCATTTATAAGCTCTAATAGTTGTTGCTGTTGTCTTTCGTTTATCATTGAAACATGAATAAATTTCTTTTTTATAAAGTAGATCAAGTGTATCAAAGAAAAGTCCTCGAATAAGAAATTTTTGATCTTTTATAGTTATAAGTATATCAAATATGGTAGCCATTTGAACGATTGTTTCATGAAAAGTTTGAACTTCACCAGGATCAGTAAAATCTGCTTTCTTAATTGTATTGATAAGTTCATTACATAATGGTACAATTTGACGAATAAAATTTTCGTGATTATCTTTATTATCATGAAGTTGTTTTAATTTATTTAGTAATTCATCGAATACTGAGCTCGATTGATCAGTTTGTTCATTCGACTCATATGATGAATTATTAATAAATTGTCCAAGTAATTGAAGAATTTTATTAACGTCAACTAGGTCCTTATCATTATTGTCACCGGTATCATTTGAAGATACATTTTCTTCGTTCTCACTCTCGTCCATTCGTCAACTGAGAAATGAAGACAAAGTTCATAAAATTGTTTTATATGTAAAAGAAAAGAAAGAGTCTTTATGGCCAAGTTCTCTAGAAAATAAATATCTTCATAACGATGTAATTGTAATAAATTATAGCTTATGTACACATTAGACACTAAATATATTTGAGAATGACAATTGCTTTTTAAGTTTATCCTTGACTGTTCGATCAAAATGTGGTAAATAACAGTCTTTATATTTATCGAGGGGTGTTTATATAAATCAACAAGCAACATTCAAGAACGTTGTGAAAGATTGTTGTTCATTCGGTATTTTCTTTATCCTTGTTATCTGGATCATAAGCAAAATATGTGCTTTAAAATTTACAATTTTAGTTTTACTTCTGCCATTGAAAAAGTATTCTGTCATCTCGTTTTTCCTGGATACCACCTATTTTGTAATTTTTACCAAATTATGAAAGTTCAATCTTAGAGATGTCATTCCATTCGAGCTAATGGATCAAGTGTCAGCTATTTTTATTGCGTTGGCAAAAGAAACGGCGCATTTACTGCCAAAGAAATTGAAAGTATAGAAAAACAAATTTTGTTTCTCCAGTAGTTAAGTATTACTGGAAAAGGATTACAAGAAAGAGAGAGAGAGATTTACAATCCAAGTCTTCATAGCGATCATACATAATCTATGATGAGAAACTAACCTGGTAGAAAAGCTATGGATGCGTGTGTACGTGCTATCTAAGTATGTACTGGTTTGTGGGCGAACTAAAACTGAATTCTTAATCAAAGTCGAACTTGAAACTCATATCTTCGCAGCCTCTGAAGACGGAACAGAATACAGAACAACATAAGTATGTCATTTCCTCCTTCCTTCATTTAAATTATATATATGAAGTAAGTTGTTTTTGCTGCTCTATATATTTACCAATGACGAAAAAAAAAGATAAGAGTAATACTGGACAATTAGGTTTAACGTTTTTATTGTTCGACCAACTATTTGTAAATAGAGAAGAAAGGACCCTGTCGAATTTGATGATCTAGTTGGCACTAGGACGTCCTATATATAGTTTTGTAGAGAATTTTAAGGCGCATCGAATGATATATAGGAAGTCAAATTTTCATCGAGTTTTCATGTCATAAGGGCCTATATACTGGGTATAAATCTGTAGAAATTTACAAATACTGGGGGCTTTACAGTGTTCTGTAGTAAATATATTAGAATGTCGTTTTTAAACATAATTCAATACAGTTATGGGTGTTCTTCAACTTTTATCAACGATAAGTTTGACTGCAGCTATTATATAATCACAAAGGGGTCGTCTCTCATAGGTCTAGGCAATTTATTAATAAAATGACATTTCTGTGTGCTCAGTCCTGTCTCAAAGGACAATTGAGCAACAACGTGAAACTTTCTCAAAAACTATACACCAGTGGTCTCTACATGTTTCATAGATCGAATCTTTCGGAACAGTAGGGGTTGACTCGTAGCGTTTGAGATACGGGTGCAAAATACCCTATTTTGGCTAATTATGGCCTAGATATATTGCCAAAATCTTGACAATAATCAGCACTTCTAATAGAAAATTTTATTTATGAATAATCACTGAAGCGCCTCATCATTTGACATAAATGAGTTCTTTGTAGATTGAAAAAAATTTTTTGACTCACAAACCCCTGGAGGGGAGTATGGGAACGCGGAAAAATTTTTTTCACGCTGAACACCAACTCTATAGGCATTCTTTTAGACTTTTACCTGCACATAACATATGCATCATTGAAAGTGACATTGATAAAAGAATTTCAAGAAAAAAGGGAACCATAGTTTGGAGCCTTATCCCCGTACTCCTCTCCAGGGGTTTGGGAGTCAAAAAATTTTTTTCAATCTACAAAGAACTCATTTATGTCAAATGATGAGGCGCTTCAGTGATTATTCATAAATAAAATTTTCTATTAGAAGTGCTGATTATTGTCAAGATTTTGGCAATATATCTAGGCCATAATTAGCCAAAATAGGGTATTTTGCACCCGTATCTCAAACGCTACGAGTCAACCCCTACTGTTCCGAAAGATTCGATCTATGAAACATGTAGAGACCACTGGTGTATAGTTTTTGAGAAAGTTTCACGTTGTTGCTCAATTGTCCTTTGAGACAGGACTGAGCACACAGAAATGTCATTTTATTAATAAATTGCCTAGACCTATGAGAGACGACCCCTTTGTGATTATATAATAGCTGCAGTCAAACTTATCGTTGATAAAAATTGAAGAACACCCACAAGTAACGCTCGTCTGTGTGACTCGCTTGATCCTCGACTGAATATTTGACTGTTTCGGGTATTATATACTGCTCTACAGCGCTAAAAAAACTAGTGTCCAAGCTTCAAACAAGGTTGTGTGTGAGTGTGGATATTTATATCCGCATTAGTGTCGTTCTGCACAATGCCATACGCGTCTGTGTGATACTTTTTGCCATAAATTCATCCAATCAAACCGATACTCACACAGTAATACCCAACGAAAATGTACATAAACCACACTAAGACAGCAGTATCCACACGCTGCAAGAAAAGGGATTATCTTCAATAAGCCGAAGGGATCAACAGAGAAAACACATCCGTAACACTAGCGTGGAAACGCACCATACACATTAAAAACTCTAATAAAATTCCGCATAACCACTAGCACATCAACCAACCAATGTAGTTTGCTAGTGTCGGCTACAAAAATACGGGTTTAGCTGAGCTTCTAGATTGAAATAAATCATTTTTGATAAGACCTATAATCGGAAAACGGCACTTGAGTGATGCTTTTACTCAAAGTAGTCATCGAATCAGGTAGTTAATTTCCAGATACCCGAATAAAATTAGACACTTGAATACACACAGGGAAGGACGCATAACAACAGATAAACACATTTTATTTCATTCAAATCACTTCGAATTGAGTGTATCTGAATTCTTTGCGTGATGTGCTCCGTCAAATTTTCTATTCAGATATTGTGGGCGTGGAGCACAACTGTTCTCAGACTTCATTCGAAAATACTTCTTAGGCTTTTAGTATTTTTAGTTCCGATTGAAAACGGCCAGATCTAGACCGTAGACATTTTTCTGCTGGATTGCAACAGCCTGAAGCGTTCCTTCAGAGACTTTCGCAGAGCAGCGGCTAGTCACTCGTCGGCATCCCTTTGAGACACCACTCGCAGCTACCCGCTGCCATCCTTAACTCTATTCCAGCATAAGATCATCCTCTTTGATTTACATTCTTCCGGGTTCTAGACTACGTTTCGTTTCAAAAATGGTTAGACTTATAACACGGTGATTGTCGACAGAAAATTCCAAAGCCGAAACCTTATTTTGAACTATTCCTCATGTCTTTAATTTCATTGCTTAGCTAGCCAATTAGAGGTTTATGAAATTTCTCCTTAGGAGAATCTTAGTGTAGTACTCTCCAAAAAATCCTAGCCTTTATATAGATCATTTCTAAAGGGAATCTGTAGTGAGCTTGCAATAGGAGTGACTAGTCGTTCTTTGGTGCTTCTCTGGAGTGCCACTCACGGCTATTCGCTCCATTATTTGAACGCGCTCAACTAAAAAGGTTGTTCTTTTCTATTAACCATAAAGATGTGACTTCATTTTCATATATCTGTTGATATTACCGTCTTCGAGTCGTATTGGCGGAAAATCCCACGCGTCAGAACTTCTGCTCAAAAAAATGCGAACAAGGACCCAAGCAAGCATTAAACTCATTTTATTTCATATGACCCTCCCTTCAGTCGAGGAAAATACCCCATCAAAAGACCCAAAACGCTTAAAATAAAAAAAACTCGTTTCTGATTGGCCGACTTTCTGGCCTATGGAAAGATTAGGTGTAAAATCCTACCACAGATTCGGAATCCTGATCGTCGATAACCTATAGTAAACTTTCATCAAAAGGCCCAAAAGCCTTTGAATACGACCTTTTGACCTGCAATAAAAAAGCTCTTTTCTGATTGGTCACCTTCCAAGCCAATGGGAAGATCGGATACAAAATCTGACCTTAGATTCGGAATCCTGGTCCTCCATAAGCTACGGTAAAGTTTCATCAAAACGTCTAAAAAGCTTAAAATAAAAAAGCTCATTTCTCATTGGTCGGCTTCTAGCCAATGGGAATATCAGATATAAAATCTGACCTCAGATTCCGAATCCTGGCCCTCGATAACCTGTGGTAAAGTTTCATTAAGAGGCTCACAAGTTACGCCTAAATGAATTTCATCTCCGATGTTTTTTTTGACCTGCCACAAAGACACATACAAACTCATTTTATTTCATATGATCCTTCCTACAGTCGAGGGAATAAACGAAAGGTAACAGATTCTGACCTCATAAATATTTTTCAATTTTGTTATTTTTACTTTTTTGTCGCAAACGGCTGCTTTAAATGTAAAGAGATTTTTTATCTCGATAGGAAAGCAATAGATCTTCTTAATGAATGTTATAAGAAATAAATAAGTTTTTTCTTTATTATTTAATGATTTCAAAACATTATCTTTTTATGAAGAAAAAGGATTCGACAGACGATAGAACATGACGATGACTATTATATCTTTGTCACATAGTATTTTTAAAAAGCACTAACCAAATCAGGATCAGTTGCATTTACTCCGCCCAAGGCTATAATAAATATACGATCGCTTTATTAATTATAATCAATATGATGAAATTTAAATGCAAATCAGGACTTTAGCTACAAATAACAAATCTGATCTGATTTATTATTTATTATTTCTTTTTCCATTTGATGATATTTAATATACAGTCAAGCGTATATATATTTTAAGTTGTTCTATATCGTACGGTCGACTATTACAGAATAACTTTTTAACAGATTCTACATACACAACACAAAATATTGCCCTCGAGATTGCTTATGTTATGCATTGAGAGTAACTACACATTTTTGTTCGAAATTGATATTTGACATGAGCTAGAATATTTCAAATTCTCTTTTCTAATAAGTATCTGATAAAGGCTACAT